ACGGGCGCCAGCGCGGCCAGCAGCGCGTGCGCCAGGCGGAAGGGCGCGAAGGCGCGGTGCGCCCAGCCGTGCTCCTCGATGACCGCGTAGCACGACGCCAGCACCCGGTTGATGAGGATGGTGCCGTGCGCCGTGAGCGCCCGTGGCCCTCGCGCAGCGTCACGCTGTGCACGGCGGCCGGCAGCAGCCGCCGGTCCCCGCCGCGCTCGGCCACCACGTACACGCGCTGCCCGGGCCGCACGCGGCTGGCGAAGAGCGCCCGGCGGCCCGGCGCGCCCCCCGGCGGCCGCCCGGCGCCCGAGTCGTTGTGCGGCGCCACGAAGAGCAGGTGCGCGGCGGTCAGCAGCAGGCGCTCGCGCGGCTCCCGCGTCTCGATCACGTAGAAGAGCTTCCTGGCGCCGTCGTCGCGGTCCAGGAAGGTGAGGAAGTCGCTGTAGAGCAGCCGGCCCTGCTCGTCGGCCGACAGCACGCGGTCCCCGGGCCGCAGGTCCTTCACCAGCTTGGTGCCGCCCTGCTCCAGGTGCACCGTGGCCGAGCCCGGGAAGCAGCCGCCGGACTTGGCCGCCACGGAGTTCTCTGCGGGGCGAGGAGCGGGAGAGAAGCGGAGACGGGAAGGTGAGTGTCGAGCGGGGAGGGGGCGCGCACGCTCGGCACCCCGCGCGCCCACGCGGGGATGGGGTGCCCGCCGCTCCCGGGAGACTCCGGGCTGGTCCAGAGCAGACGTGCCTCCCCACGCCCCACCGCCTCGGGGACAACACTCAGATGCAGGCGCGTTCCTTGGTGACGCTTCTAGCACTGGACTGGCGGTGACAAAGGTCGGCGGGCCACACTCCTTCCCTTCCGCCCCCCCCTCGGCACACACCCAGCCTCGCGGAGTCGGAGGGTGTTTGCTCTCCACTTGGATTCCTCAGGGAGCCTCCTTGAGCTCCCCCGGGCGCCGGGGCGCACCCTCCTCCCCTCCCGCCCCTGGCGCGGGGCGCGGCGCCCCCTCGTGCGTTCCGCACCCGGCTCCGCCGAGGGGACCCCGCGCCGGCCCGCCCCGAGCGCGCAGCCCGGGGCCCCAGTGTCGGCCTGTTAGGGGCCGGAGGGGGGGGCGGGGGGGTGAAAAATAGCTGCAGTGGTTGCAGCAACTGAACAAACATTCCACAGAGCTGGCCGAGGTGTGAAAACCCGGGGCTGGTGTGGCTTTTCCAATTAAAATCCAATAAAGGGCCCGGCATTGTCATTGCGATCGCTGCGCTAAATCGGAGACCCGCTCGGGAGAGGGGACACTTCCACGTCTCCCCTCCCCTCTCTCGGCTCCCGGCCGCCCCCTCCCTATTTGCTCAGGTGCACCCCCCTCCCCTCCCGCGCGGTTCACACGCGGGCTCTCCAGCAGCCGGGGCCTCACAAGCGTTATTTGCTCAGCCAGGCCTCTCTTCCAAGCTCTCAAGATGTGTATTTGAATTTTAAATGGCGGGGCCTGCTCGAGCGCTGGTAGCGGCCGGGTTCTCAAGGCCCCTTGACGACGCGCTTTCTCGAGCCCTCTGTGGCGCTCGGAGGCTCACGGTCCCCAGGACAATGATCGGGGCCGGGCGGCGCGCAGGGGGCCGGGAGGAGGGGCGCCGAGGCCCCAGTCTTCTTTGCATTCCAATCTCCCGGATCATGCTTTTTGCAAATAGAGATCGCGAGAAAGAATCTTCCTGTTGGAATTACGGAGGGTTTTTAATCTTCTCATCGGTTTCTCCGGCATGAAGCCGTTGGAGGCCCGCTGCAGCCCCCCGGAATGCGGCCCGGGCTGCAGGCGAGCCGGGCTCGTCCAGTCGCACGACCCTGCTTGACACGCACCGCGCCGCGCCCAGGCCCGTGTGCGCCGAATGCTAATGAGCGGCTCTGCGCGCCCCTGGGCGAGCAGCCCCTGGGGCCGCATCACCGCTGCTCATTTGCGAGGAGACCTCTTGGGACACCCGCCAGGGGCACCCCCACCAGGGGACTCCGCGGACTGAGGTGGCCCCGCAGGGGTGCGCGCTCAAGAGCGCAGTCACGAGGTCCCGGGAAGGGTGCGCCCGGGGGCCTCCCGCCCCCGCCCCCACCCCGCAGCGGGAGGAAAGAACCCCACGGAAGGTTCCCCCGCGGAGCCCCGCGAAGTGGGGGCGCTGCCTTCTCTTCCTCCTTTCGGCTGAGACCCCCTTCCATGCCTATTCTTTCTGTTGTGACAAGAAGCCACTATTTTCCTTACCTACGAAGTGTGTCTTGACACTTTAAAAGTGTTTTTCTACCAACATCTGCTATTAAAATAGTTTAGGAGACTAACAGGCAAAACTGGGGAGGGGGTGGGGAAGACACAGTTCCTCCGAAATTCAGTGTGAACTGTTTTACTAAATGCGCCAGCTTCTGCCGAGAGATGTAAGGATCCGAAGAAACAGTCGCCAAGTTGGGAATTATATGCGCGTGTGGATGTGAAGCCTCCCTTTCATAGCGATTCCTCGCCAGCAACAGCATGTGGCGTTGCTGGCCCAGGGAAGTCAGCTCGCGCGGCGCGGACGGCCGTCCGCAGCTGCAGACTGAGACCTGCTTTCCCTGCCCTGACTGCGGCTGGGGGCGACCCAGCTGGCTCCCGCCCAGGTCGGTGCTTCTGGGCTTGCAGCTCCAGATGTTGGAAGTGGTGACTACTGGGTTTATTACCGCCCACCAGGCCTCTCCCCAAAGGCTTAGGGAGTGAGTTAAGTTAGTTTAGAATCCGCAGGCGCTCGTGGGGAGGGGAGAGGCGAAGGGGCTTACACCCTGGACGCAACCTCCTGTGCCAGGGGGCAGGGGAGTGGAGGCCAGTTGGTTCTTAAGCTCTAAATGAGAGGAAGGATGGAGGCCAGACCTGGCTATCCAAGCAGTCTCTCACCAGGAACCACCTCCCACCTTTCTTCCGTGTCTCTGCTACCTGCAGTGGGGCCTCCGGAAACAGGGTTGGGGGGGGGGTGGCTGGGGAAACCATGTGCCCTCTGCATGAGGGCTCAGAGGACCTCAGGTCTCCATGGTCTGGGGGGGAGGGGATGTGTACAATTCCTTGCTGAGGGACAAGCCTCAGAGGGTGGGTACCCCCGCACCAGAAGCATGTCATCATCTAATTCCCTCCCTCCCTGCCCCTTATGCTCCCCCCCTTTTCTCGCTTTCCCTGGAATCAGGCCGTGGGCATACAGGGGACATCTCCTGGACAGATGTGGCGCTGGCTGGGGGGGCTATGAGAAGCCAGGGCTGGCACCCACCTGCTTTCACGGAGCAGTGGATGTGGGCTTTAGACTCGTAGTACACCCAGTCGAAGCCGGCCTCCACTGCCAGGCGCGCCAGCATGCCGTACTTGCTGCGGTCACGGTCAGATGTGGTGATGTCCACAGCGCGGCCTTCGTAGTGCAGCGACTCCTCTGAGTGGTGGCCGTCCTCGTCCCAGCCCTCGGTCACCCGAAGCTTCACTCCAGGCCACTGATTCATCACCGAGATGGCCAAAGCATTTAACTTGTCCTTACACCTCTGCGGAGAGAAGGGGGACCCCACAGACGTTAGTTAGTGTCAGGCCGGCCACCCAACCCGATGGCCTGCGGGCTGCTGTCTGGCCCCTGAGGACAAGGGCTGTGTGGAGAAGTAGGGAGACCGAGGCCTGGAATGGGGCCCAGCCAGCTCAGAAGAGATGGCTCTGGAGTGCGGAGGGGGCGTCTGCAGGGAGCAGGTCCAGCTGAGGGCCTGCCCGCCTCCAAGCCCTGAGCTTGCAGAGGTCTTACCATGGCCTGGGAGGCAGATGAGTTAACTGTGTGTTTTCAGACAGTGAGTGGAGAACCCACCAGGGAACCCTCGGCCATGCTCCACGCCTACCCCAGGGTGTCCCCCACCCCCTTGCTGTGGCCCCATTTCTCCACACCTGTGCAAGGCTCCACCCCCCTCCCAGGGCACACTCCCTCACCTGCAGGCCAGAGAGAGGCCCAGGGTGCAACTTTGAAGAAATAAAGGAAAGCATGCTGTATGCTTCTTAAGGAATTAAAAGCCTTCCTTATCTCTGGACACTCCCCCCTGCCCTGTGCCTATCTAAGGTGAGAATTAAGCCAAAGGTAGAGAGGGAGGCGGGAGCTGATAGCAAAGCTTAAGGGGTGGTAGAGAGCCAGCAGTGAAAGGCGACCAGGTGAGTTACAATTTTCAGTGCGGGCCAGGCCGGACGACAAACAGTCTTTATCTGGACAGCCACATTCCTTTCCCCCGTGGAACTCTTTCTCCCAGCTTTTCTGTGGTCTGATTGTGTCTTGCTTTCCTTAACCTGCTCCCTTCCCCCGCTTGTTTCCTTGGCCCCGGCGCAGAATGGTGTCCTGCAAGTTTGAAGAGCAAACTTCAGGGGTGGAGGCGTGTGGAGGATGGGGCAGGACGTGGGGGATGGGGAGCCAGGAAGGCCTGGAGCCTCGGAGCCCTTCCCCTTGGGGAGTCACCCTCTCGCCCCGCCCCCAACACTAGGAAGCCGCGGGGTAGGAGTAAGGAAATGGTGAGTAAGGTGGGGCGCACCCCAGGGTGCGTGGGCGGGGTGGGGGGCTCCCCCGTGTCTTCTGCGGTTCCACTCAGAGAAGGAAGCAGTAAGAACGCCTAAATCAAGTGTGTGCGCTTGTGTGGCGGCGAGCTCACGAGTCGCTAATCCTGCTGCTGGTGCGGGAGCGAGATTTAAAAGGGGGGAAATGACAAAAGTCCTTAGAGAGGCTGACCCAAGAGGAGATGGGTGACAATTTCAAGTCGACATCTGCAGAGGGCAGGGCTGGCCTCCTCCAGGCGGGCGATGCTCGGCGTGGGAGCCTGGCTACCGGGCTGGAGGGACGGCCCCCACCAAGGACCCTAATAATTGCGTGGGGGGCTCCTTTCCTAAAGAGTGGGGGAGGAGCGCCCTTGCGGAAGGACTGCTGCCCGCCTTTTAAGGGGATGTGACCGATTGCGCAACAGGAAAAGTCCTATGTATTTGGCAGCAATAAAAACCAGTAATATGGTTGCAGAGTTAAACATACAACAAATGG